CCACCAAAGATATGTGATCATTAGCTTCTGTATCGTTGATAGCTACTTGGGGATCGTCTGAAGCTGTAGGTGATTCGTTTTCATAATTCTGTTTTTTTTCTCGAAAACATTCACGACATTCATTAGCTCTCCACTCTTGAGCAACGAATTTCGAACAAATAGTCTTCATCGACTTCTCCATTGGATATGTTAATTTGTCGTTAATAATCTTTATATTAAACGACATATGAATAAAATATTTATCTATATGAAAAAAAGAATATAAATATTCGGAGAAATTTTTAACTAGAAGATAAGAGAAAGATAAAAGAAGTTTCTCTCAACCAGCGACAGAGCAAGACAAGATTGTTTATGACAACCACCAGCTATTCATAAAGCAAATAGACTCGATTAGAATATTAGACAATGTAAGGAGAAAAACAGCTTAAGAGCAAAAGTTTGTGTTGTAGAGTATAACTGCAGACATTCTCAATAGACCCTACATCAGCCATTTTGCTGACTTGTTCTCTGGGTTCAATATGCTCACAAAAAGTTTCATTGATTTTATCCAAAGCATATCGAGAACGGTGTTTGGGATCAGCATTATCTTGCCAAATAATACCAGCATCATCATACAAGGATGGATGTGGGCATGGGCGTAGTTGGTATGTGGGTGTAGGCGTGGCCTGATGCTTGTTTATGTTGACTCACACGGTGTGAGTCACACCCACACTCACCCTAGTTGAAACTATATCATTACCAACAGTTTTTCACGTGCTACCACACAGATTGACTCGATTCGGTTTGCGACCTTCTAAATCGATCTCGTTTTCAGTTTGGCTAAAACTTTGAAGAACTTGAACCGATCCCAACTGTGCTATCACACACAAGAAAACACAAATATATACACATCGTCAAGGTCAACACTAAACAAGTCGTATACAGACAAGAAGGGAAAGGAAGGGAAAAGAATTGTAACAGTCGATAATCGTTACCACTCCATTGTATGAGTAACCTATTAGCCATAAAAAGTATATCATTTTCATTCTTGCAAGGTACGCAGTTGAGTAAGAATCGTATCAAATACTTCACTGTATAGAGGGAAGCCTTAGTAGCGTTTTTGTTTTTGAGCCGATTATGTATTAGGTATTTACATTGTCATACCTTTTTACTAAGGGAATCTAGTAGTAGGTTCCCAACATCAGTGTAAACAGATACACTTTACATGCAGAAGATATTCATTCTCACTTGAGTATGCTTTTGGCAATTTGAGAGTCAAAGTTCTATACTATCTTTTTGTTACTTTCTGGATTTAGCTAATTAAGGGCTGTGGAACTGGCATATGACTTGTTTATGAATTCCATTAGATTTTGGACTGCCATTGATATTCAGTCGTTTTCTTTTTCAGTCTGTTAATGTTTTCTGCTCATCAGAATCCAACGTATTTTAAAAGCAAAAACTTTCACAACAGATTACATTTTATGAAATGCACGCTTATTCATTTCTATATGTGATATTTTTATTTATTAAAAAGAGGAGCTATACATCGGAAGCCAATCTGAGATAGACATGAATTCTAGATATATGCTCAACATGTATTGATAAGCAGGCTCTCAGAAGTATCCTTTTGTAATGGTCATCAAGAAGAGAGTCGATGAAATTGGGTATATCCGAACGGCAGGCTGTAAAATGCGACTATTACCTGGATATCCTTTATCAATGTCCACTGATAATTTCACTTATTTCACACTCATTTGAAATGTGTATAACACAGCCGGCCAAATCAAATAATACAAAAGGAAAAAATGGTACATTAGTGTGTTTTCTTCTCTGTGCATTATCGTATTTCATCGTATACGACACGGATATCTACGATCGTAATGTTGAGCCATGTCAATTGTCGTATTTCTCCATATACAGCCACTTACGACTGAATTTGTTCGATCTAGGAAAACATCGTAATAATGCATGAAATCTGTCGCTGTTATAGATTTTATTACGGGTGCGGGCGAGACTGCTTGATACATGTTCAGCTATAGAAAAGATACGACACTACTGTGGTTTGTTGATTTCTAACTATTTCTATTTTATTTGATAAGATTATTCAAACTATTCTGTTGTGAAAAGTTGTCGCCACATTTATCTGCTTGTTGAAATGTTTTCAGTTCAGATGATAACGGAATGCATTTATTTATTGTCACTTCAGTTGGGAATTTAAACACTTGTAATGTTTGTGGAGATGACGCTAGCTTTATAGCAGAATATAGTAGATAAAACGACACGACTATAGAGAAAACTAATGATATACTGGGATACGGAGGATAAATAGAGGCCACAGCGAGTGGGCTCAGAATACATATGAAATATTGGAAATATTGAGAATATACACGATTTATACAGGATACTAAGGGTTTTGGCACCTCCAATACCCGCTTTTATGCCCATCGCTCGTACAACTTCCGCCAAATCTCCTTTTTGGCTGGCTGCTGACTCTGTCAGTTCTAACTTTAGTTTTCCAAATCTTTCAATGTTGCTCGCCGTTTTTGTCACATGAATATCTTTTAAAAGAATATTCTAAATGCATTTTTTTCAAGGTAATGGTTGAATTTCCAGTCAATCATCAAAAACAAAGCTCCTACAACCGAAAAACCTGTCTAACTCAGTATCTTGCACACTCGCTAAGATGCCACTTTAAAATTAATATTCAAATTAGAAGATGAATTATCATTCAAAACACGAAAAACTCTGATGCTCTTTATGAACCCTCCTGTAGAGGCCGATTTCCCTAAAGATAGGACTCTATTTGTCATGGACTCTAGGATGTGATCCCGTTGTATTTAACACACCATTTTACATTAGTCAGAATATCTCGTAAAATGAATATTCAGCTCTAACACGAGCCAAGATATCTTATTCCTGTATTAGTCATCGCGGAGACAGAAATCCACTTTGCTAATAAACATTATTAAAGATCACATCATTTAAAAAACATCTGTGAATGTTGTTCGAAAAATAATTATCTTTGAAGACACAACCGCATGAACGAATTTCTACTCTTAACATAGAACCAAATAGCCTATTTCATTAGTGATTGCCAGGCTCACCAATAATTTACATAATAAAAGACACTGAGTTTCTAATCAGCTCAAGGATTCTAGTGAGTCATACTGCCACAACTCTTAAAAAGTAGATCAAGCTTGAATATCGAGTTTTCAATCAAAACAGTATTTACATGTAGCTTTAGAAATTTCGACTCGTTTCTATCGAAAGAATATTTGGAAAATATGCACTCTATACTATATACGATGCCCTTCTCCAAATAGGCAAAATCTTTCATGGCACGAATCGGAAGATAACTACTTCATAAAACGCTTCGAGTAAGTGGACAACTCAGGCAACGTAAACCGATGCACTGTAAAATCGAAAAACTCATGTATCACTGACTACAATACCAATACTTATTACCTTCGGTTGAAAAAACTACGAATCGAACGCATCCTTAATGTTTTCATACGTGATTTTCTCACTTTAAATGCCATATATCCACAAAGCCAAGTATTTAATGCCTGCCTTTCAGCAGCAATTTCGAATTTAAACCAGAAACGATTCATAGATGTATTCATGATGATCATTGAAAATTTTACACGACAAAAGTAAATTTCTGATATCTGGTTCTTTTGCGGCAAGTCTGATTCGTATATAGACTAGATAGCTGATTTCTTCAGTAGACATCAGATATCAGAGTGCAGATAGTTAGTTAAAACTGGTAATAATTTGAGATATGTCATGAACTCACATAGTTGCAATAAATAATTTTTTTTGTCTTTTCACTGCCATAAAAGTTATCTCAATACTGACATATATTATATATCCAAAATTAGGTATTCTACTCCGTACTGCTCAATTTCTAACATATTTGATGGTGACTGTCTGAGCAATAGTCGAAACGCTTCGTATTTTTCTTTGAATCTATTTAATAATAAGTAACACATCCACTCACACCCGGGTGAATTCCGCTCGTATTATACCGTTTGAAGAAAAAAATCGAAAAAAATGAAAGTGAATACAGAAAACGTTTTATATGTGTATTCGATAGATCTTCTTTTGTTATATATAATCCAAATATTTTCCCGATTGTCAAGTCTTTGGTTTAAGAAATAGTCGAGATCTCGAAGTGCATGAACGCATCGAGATCTCTTGTCAAAATAAAATATCTAATTGAAAATTTACTACATTTTTATTATATATCAGTCGAATTGTTTTCAAAAGAAGAATTTAACAGACCTGTAAATAACTTTATTCACACATATGCATACATATGCGGTAGCATTATGTGATTGTTATCATTGAAATTGCATGTTTTTCGAGAAACAACCTACCGTATAACTAAGTTGTTTTCAATATTGTTTTGCGACATCAATGAGAGTCAGAATCATTATCAATATTGATGTATATTTCACAAAAAGAAGCAAGGTTTACTATGAAGAAGCATTTAAGTTAGCCATTGTTAATGTTTCATGTGTAAAACTGTTCATTCAGATAAAAAATGTTCTCACTAGTAATTTCAAATCCAAAAATTTCTCCTTATCAAATTTTCTGATTCGTTTGATTTGCTTTTGTAAATATTTGTCCGTTCGATTTAGCAATAATTTCGTGAAATCTCCGCGTGCCTTTGATTGTTCTTAATGATGGAATTTGCACTCTCAATGAATCAATATCTTTCTTCTTATACAAGTAAAGTGGAATATTTATAGAACTCTTTATTTTACTCATCAAATCCCCAGCATCTTTAAATGATTCATCTGGATTTAATCTAAAAGCGTCATCAAATAACCGTTTAATAGTGGCACCAATGCCATCAGCTATACCTTTTGCGTGAACACTAGCTAAAAGCAACCATCTCATTATAATTTTTCTATTGGTAGCAAAATATTTCAAAAAGAAAATCATGGTTTTGTTTCGACATTGACTTGATAGAAAATCAGATATACCGTTCAATCTTGTAATTTGTCTATCTGTAGTTAAAATTTTGCTGTATTCTGATGACGACGTTGGATACCTTCACGTTTTCTAAGATCATTTCTTGATATTGTAATTGTTGATGCTGATTGCATTGATTTTTGTTGTTGCTGTTGTTTCTTTTTTGCTCGACGTAATGCTTGCCTCAATGGTACAATTTTTCTATACTTTTTATCAAAACTTTTAGATTGTAAACGTTTTAGTTGAATTTTCTGACGATATCTTTGACAATATGTAGTATTTTTATTTTTATTTTTATTTTGTCTCTTTGGTCTCATCTTGAAAATATTAAGTGAACCAGAAAGCAAATAAAAAAATGTTTAGGAATGTACACAGCCAGAGCTAGCTTTCATGAACAATTGAAGTTTTCTATAAGATATAAACTCTTTTCTATGGTAGTAAGTGAAGAAAAGACAGACCTATCTATCATTTAAAGCATTAGGAATCCTCATTAAATACTTATAAACGTCTCTCAATTGAGAGAAAGCGAGAGAAATCAATGCAGACGAAATCAATTTTTGTTTATCTCTGAATATCTATCATTTTAATCTGTCGTGACTTTTCGATACAAAAAAAAATCTGCTGTGACATTTTTTGAGTAAAATATCATGTTCTCACGAACTATTCTTAGTTAAGAGCTGAAACTTTTACTATAGATCCACCATATAGCTAGCCAAGATAGATAAAAAATTCAGCCGCTAATCTCTTTTCATGAGCGAGAAGTCAAAGAATCAAAATTAAAAATCTGTCGTGATGTTTAGTGAGACAACAACTACCTGCATGCATTAGCTTTAGTTTTTCCTTTGATCCTGAAGATTCTTGGAAATGTTTCTTTTGTCAAAATATTTCTTGCTCCTTGGTCTATCCAACAGAAAAAAGAAATTTGAGTTAGGTTGTAAATAGCCTTTAGTAGCTTCAATTTAATTTGTCGTGACATAAAATGATTCTAGTGTATGTTTAGACTTTTTTTGGAAGATATCATCCGGAAAACGAAATCGACATTATGATCAATTTATATTGTTAGAAAGAACATATTCTTAACTACTGGCGCGTAATGATAATTGATCGAAGCAAAAGCCGAGGGCCGAAATAGTCTAATACGCTGATTGACTATATTATTTATGTACAACAAGCACCTTAAAGCGCCATTAATCCTATGAGACGTCGTCTTTATATTGTTGAAAACGTCAAAGAACTAGAACCAACAAATCTTCAGGTAGATACACAAATTCTTAAATCTTTTTAGAGAAAACCTAATCTTTTCATTCTTCAAATTAAGTTTTTTTCGTATATAATTATAACATGTATTATTTGAAAAATTATTAGAAAGTATAACAATCTTTGATCGACAAAAATCATCTAGAGGATAAATCGACTTGTCACTGAAGAACAAGTCGAGTTATCAAAAGACTGTTATATGTTAATCATTTACGAGGTAAACTACGGACTACCAGTTATTGGTTTACTGAATATTCCGAAACAACCAATCAGTGTATTAGGACGCTTCGCTTTCGACTTCGGTCGATTATCATTACCCCTACTAGCTGCCATAAAAAATTCTATTTATCCAGTCAGAATTATATGATATAAAAAGAAATTTTTGCCGACAGATGTCACCAAACAAGTTTTTTTTTAATTTGTTTTGTTAGAAAACTCTTTAACCACAGCCAAACAACTTGATATTTTGATGGTAAGTACGGCGACCTAACTAGAGCATTTGAAAAAAGAAATTGTTCGACTTGGTTAAGTAGAAGTTGAGATATAAGTTTTTCGTGTTTGCAGAGCAACGGTACAATACGAACGAAATTCACCCACCCACACTCACATCCTAAGATAATATATAGTTTGTATGTTGAAGTATATAAGACGTTTCTATTTCTTGAAAATTTAGACGTTTTATTAATGAATTAGCATGGTTAATGAACTTTGAAGCAATAAGCATATATAATATTCAAAAGTCAGATACTAGTTATATCACTACAATGAATGAAGGAAAAATACTGATTATAAAATTAGTGTTCAGTTATATTTAATGGTGTTTCGAATGATCGTCTTTTTTTTTGGGTCCTTCACTATCTTTTTTTGCACATCTAAGTAAACAATCTCGAACGTTCTGCGATGGGAAATCGGGTAGAGCATTCACTTGTGCTGGAACTTGATTTTCAGAAGCATCTCCCAATGCTGCAGCGACAACATTTGCTTGAAACTGTTTCATAAAAGCTGTGGCAACCAAAGAACCGGGATCCTCGTTGCTGCGGGCTGCTATGAACACGGCTTCAGTACAGCCTGTATTTAGTTCAAAATGAACTGATCCTTGTGGAAATACAACCGCTTGTCCTTCGTGCACAGTATTCGTTACGTAATCGATACCATTTTCTAGAAAGAATCCAGTTAGGAATTCACCTTTGGCAACATATACTATCGACGATGCTCGCGGGTGCATATGAGGGTCAACTAAACCGCATGGAGCGATTCTTGCATAATTCAATGAAACACCAGCATGGACAAGTGCGGGAAAATTGCCAGCCTGAAAAAAAAACATGCTTAGTCTATGATGTGTTATTACCGATGTGAAAGCAATATGGCATCTATCAATGTTTTTACTAAAACTAACTCGATAAACATCGTTGCTTACGATGTTAGTGTAAAAGCAGTCCGGAACAAGAGCGAGATCGAGTGACAACAGAAGGGAGAGAAAAAATGACCATTTACCGGACTCGAACAACATGCTTGCTGCTTACCATGCAGATATACTACTGTTATATTAGGAAGAACATCTTCTGTTCCATCTATGACCCACCTTGTTCATATGTGCTATAACAGATATTTAATGGGAAATTCTAGATTCTCTTTTTTTGTCTATCGAATCAGACATACAGTAGATCTAAAAAAACATCAACCCGTTATTCAAAGAAGCAAACTTATAAATAGTTTCAATCAATATCACGTTTGGTTCTATTTTGCAGCAAAACACAAGCTTTTACTGGCATTTTGGCATCATTTCAGCTGTTATGGGCGAAAATCTTCACAAAAAAAACACCTCAAATAATGCAAAAATAGCAGCAAAAACTTATGTTCTTGTGTTGTAAAGTCTGGTTAAAATTAATATAGACGGAAAATATCAGACGTTTCTTCCATTCTTACATCAACTTGGTGCGTTTTTGACATCTCTATCTGATCGGGTAGTTTCGAAGTTGCGAACATGTAGAAATACGCTTTCACGATATTAACGCAAGAAACATCATCAAAATTTCAAGAATTTAACAAAAAAAAGGACGCTCCCTTTTCACGACCGCATAAACGCGGTGACACAGTCAAAAAGGCAATATCTGTTTTCATTAAATTGTTGAATTTAAATGTATTTGAATGCTATTTTCTCATTAAACTTGCGCAGTTTTTCTACACAAACAATGAAATACCTACATTTGCAGATACTAATCGTCCGCCTGAGCCGGTTGTCACGCCAACTGTTGCTGTATAAAAATCGAACACATAATTGAAACGAGGGTTGGCCGCCAGTTGTGATTCACGATCGAATTCCGTCGCGGATGATCTCAACGCTCGCAGAAAATCTACGCTTGGTCTTTGGTCACCCGCACATGAAACTTCATTGAAGAAAGTAAGTATCAATATTCCGATGAAAACTACCATTTCTAAAATCTGAAATAGATATGAAAACATTTTCAGTCATTTATGCTTCAATCTGCAAAACTAATCATTTGGCTGAACACAGTATTTAGTTCTGAACTCGTCTTATATTTTCTACAGCGAACTTTAAAAATATATGCAGCGATGGCAATCTTATTATTTTCTCAGTTTTATGTTTATCATGCTCACTAATTTTCCTTATTATGACAGGCTCAGACAGTAGTAAGTTCTGTCTACAGGAAAGTGGGTACAACAAAACTAAAATCAGATATTTGCGATATCGAACCTTATCTTAAATGTATTAATCTCTTATCAAACGATAAGAATTTGTTAGCAATTATTTTTGTACATATGACAGACATTTTCTGGTTTAGAAAGTTTTCTTGCATCGATTGTCAGATACAATTTGAGTCAGTTGAACTTGTGCCATCATATATGAAACGGGTTTTTGTAGTTGAAGAAAATACCTCTTCATCATATGTTGTAATATTCATGTTCGATGCATACTCTACCTATTCGCATGACAGTATGTGAAGATAAAGCTTTCTTCAGCAACTATGATCTTGTTGTGGCATGACATAATTTTTAATCAATAAATGGCCATATCGCATTTGATATACCTTTTTTTACCGATTCTGATGATTATGCAGATGTTCCACAGCTATCATTTGTCCTTAAAATATAACATATCTCAGAAAAAGCAGTAAAATATACAAATTTATCTTTAATGTGTCATGTAATGTTTTCTATGCTGATATATCCGAATAATAAAGATCGGCTCAACTAAATTTTAAATATTATAAAAATTAAAACCATCTATTCTAGCCTCTTCTCAGCTGCAAAGATCGACCAGAGATATTTCTTAGATGTTTCCTCAAGGCTGCAGATGCTCAATTCGCTTCTTTTAGTGAATGTTTTCAAGATCAACAGTTGAAATATACATACTCATAATCCTCCATCCAACATAAGTTCAACGTCACAAAACTGCGAACGTGATCGAAAAATTCTGATGAGTACTAGAGAAATAATTTCAGACCTAAAATCGAGTGCTGTAGGTTTCAAAATTAGAAAGCATGATTCCACTTAACATGATACAGTAGTACCGACATTTGAATTAAACACTGAAACCTACTATTCTTCATGGTTAGAAAAAGAAAATTGCACGCATAAAGACTTATAATGTAATCTTTCTATAGGCGCAACGGCAAACCGCACCGGAAAAGACTGGCTTCTTTTCACTTTACATGAGATGCCAGGGAAAAACAAAGAAGAAAGGAAAGGAAAATGAAGAGTAGGAAGAGACGTAGATCTACTAATTTTTTCGATTGACGTTTGAAAATAAGATGGAATCGCTAAAAGCAGCGATGCATTTATGGACTCGTTGAGAAAGACAAAGAGAGAAAAAGAAGAAAGTGATATTTTCGGTTAGTGAAATAACGAGCACGATTGCCGTTGATAAATAGAAGTAACACTGCGTTTATGAATCCGCTATTCTGAAAGAGAGACATCATGAAAAGAACGGAAAGTAATGTGCGCATTATTTCTTTTATTGGGGACTGCAAATGAACCAAGTGTCTGTCAGAAGATGATGCAAAAGGTAAAATTCATTTTTCCTACCGGCTTTTGCATGGAGAACAAGGAAACAATCTTGAAAACTGTCTACGAAGCAAATAAAAAGCATACTCATGTATATATGGAAATTACCCGCTTTTTAAATGATATTTGAAATTCTATATATTGTCCTATTTTCTTTCGATTTTTGCTTTTAAAAAATTCTTAAACTACGTTTTTCCCAGGCAAGTCGATGAAGTCCTTCTGCTCAAATGAAAAAGAATACTGGAAAAAAATTTCCTATATTTTTGAAATTCGCGCACCTTACTCGGCGATAATGGGGGCATTGAGCATAATCCATATGTATATATATGTATAAATTTGGTACACTATTCTTTGAACATTGGCATTTCTCAATTAATTTATTTTAAACTTACATTTATTTTACATTTAAATCCAATTGAAATGCACTTAAATTAAATTGAAATGAATTTATATTGCATTCAAATCCATTTGTAATGAATTGAAATTCAGCTTAATTGCATCGAAACCCACTTGAAATAGATTTAAATTCAGTATAAACGGATTTATAGTGATTTAATTGTGTTCAAATGTGATTTACGAGGATTTAAATTGGATTTAAATCCAATCTAGATATAGATGGATTTGAATCCAACTGAAATACGCGTAAATCGTATTTGAATCCAATTAAATTAATATAAATCCATTTCAATTGGGGCTCGATACATTTAACTTGAATTTTAATACATTAGAACTGGATTTGAATGTAATATAAATTTATTAAAATCAACTTAAGTTAGTTTAATTCCAGTTTAAATGCATTGCTCTCCAATCTAGATACATTTCGATTAAACGTAAACCCATCTGCATCAATTTAAACTGAATATGGTCTAATATTTATGGAGTTTCAATCTATTTTAGTTGAATTAACATCACTGAAACTAGACATAAATAGAACTGTAACAGTTCAGTTCCCATAAACAGTTAGAGTCCTTACATCGACTTAAATCAAATTTATATTTTTTTGATTGTTTCTAGAAATGAAAGCAATCTTTTTTTGCGAAAATACCCTATCAAACATATGCTTATGAGTATGTTAATATTAGTAGAAAAAAAAAGCAGACAAGGAGTATGGCTTTTTTATACAGAATCGTTTATTCTGATGACCGAATTTTAACATATGATATTAGTTTCTTTCCTTATCTGTTATTTCTTTCTTTTGAAGTCATGTATTCAGACAATATGGATGATCAATTTACGTTTGACAAGATTTACTAAAATCAGAAATATATCAAGAGGAAAAGTGATCCCTACCTAGTATTGATGACTCAAGTTGGTATCAACCAAGTCAGTTGAAAAACTTAGTAATATATTATTGTAGACCTGAAATTTTCTTATGGAAATTTTCAGAACTGTAGCCTGGCGTAAAGACTTGATAAAGCCGTTGAAAAAGTTCATCACAGCAGAGTTTGTCAATTGATAGAATTGTGGTGTTATGTAATGATCTTCGGATCTAAGAAATTTGGTATATATGTTGGGAGTTAGAGTTAAAAAGAGCAAGAATAAAATCATTTGAATACGAAACAGCAAACAAACATTTTCTCAGATGCCTATTCATTGACACTTGTATCACAGACGATAAATACTATATCCAAGCATACAGTATTTCTTTATCATGAAGGACTTGGCTCCAAAGTCATTGTACTGGTCTCATGAAATTTTTGCTTCATCGATTACTCGTGTTTTGACGCCATCTACGACGCTCTGACTCAAAAGGACTTTTTCTCGTAACTAAATGTGAAAATGATTAGTACAGAAGAGCACCATGCTATTATTAAAAAAGATCGCAATTTCGAAAAATATATGCTTACTTGTTGAATTCGTTCGAAATCTTGCAATGAGAATAATGCAATATGTTGCCTATTTATATATCGCGAAGTAGATCTGGTTTTTGAGTGTAAATGTCTATATTTGGATTAATAGCGCACAAAATATAGATGATCTAGGCATTTATTTCATACAAATATAGCAATCGTTTTGCTTGCTCTCTCTCTATCGTTCGCATAGATTAATTGACAGCGATAAAAGGTCAGATGAATGCTGGCTAGAATATGCACTATACCTCGTTGTAACTTTTTTTCTTTATAAACATTGCACAGAACTGATAAAATATTAGATTTACACTGACCATCATTTCTCGCTAAAAGGTATAATCATCATTAAACCCTAATAATAGCAACGACAACAACAACAATAACAACAACAGAGAGGAGAAAAACAAAGAGAGAAAATTGAAGAGAATGAGAAAAATCAATTACAACG